CACAACAACAATGACACCATTCGATCCACACAAGCCTTAAGCACCCCCTTCATGCAAGGCAGCGGAATAAAGGAGTTCAATGAGGAACAATCGAAGCTTGTGAGGGATTGGCAAGGTTGTTGAAGTGGAAGGCAGTAACGACGGCTCACAGTGCCTCCAGGTTCTTGAGGTTGCCCAGCGATGATGGGATGGTGCCACTGAAGTCGTTCACACCCAGCACCCTGCACACACACATACACGCACGCACACACATACTCACCCATGCACACACACGCACGCACACGCACGCACCCACACACACACACACACACACACACGCATCATGTCTAGAGACATGCCAGTGGAAATAGACACATAAAACAACCTCTCAAGAATGGTCACACATGAACAACCACAGCCAGTTCATAAACAAACAGGGGGATGGACACAAAAAACAACTGAACGATGCAATGAACCCTGCCTTGCGATGCACCTTGTCGGTCATGCAATGCACCCTGCCATGGCCTTTTCTAGCTCACAGGTAGCGCAGGTCAGTGAGGGCTCCCAAGGAAGACACAATGCTGCCCTCTAGTCGGTTGTACTCCAGGTGCCTGCCGTATCACAGTGACAGTGATGGCCCTCCCATTAGTGCGCTATGCTACGAATGCTGCCCCCCCCACTCTCCCCCACTGCCATGGCACCAGGACAAACGTGCATGGGAAGGTTGCCATGGGCAGCCGCCAGCCACGCGCTGTGGGACAAGCTTCCCACTCTGCAGCAGCAGGGCGAGATGGAGATAGGCACGAGGACGTGATGGGAGAAAAGCAAATGAGGATGTGAGATTTTCCCATTTGCCTTTCTAGAGAAAGGCGTGGGGCAGGCGGGCTGCCGGCCTAAGGGGAGGGGAGGTGCTCACAGGCGTGTGAGTCTGTGCAGCTGGCCCAGGCCCTCAGGCAGCGAGCCCGTGAAACTGTTGAAGTCCAAGGTCCTGGAGAGGCAGAGCAGGACGGGTGATGGGCACGAAGCAATGGCCCAGGAAGCCCGGAGGGGCACATGCAATAAAGCATGAGGAAGGGTTCGAATCAATTGAATGCGCCTCTCGCCACCATTCAGCAGAAGCGAAGCCAACAGTGGCCATAGGACGTTGTAATGAGGCACAATCAGTCAGGCAAGCAAGGAACTCAACGCCACAACGAACAAATGCAGCAGGTGAGGAGAGAAGGCAGGGTGTGTGGTATCTGCACAGCAGGACATGAAGCTCACTACTCACAACGTGTTAAGGTTAGTGAATGAGGCGAGGAAGGGTGGAAGAGAGCCTGAGAGGGTGTTGCGGCTCAGCCTCCTGAATGGAAGCACACAACGACAGACATTTCACATTCACACGCATGTGGAGCTCCCAAACTAGGCACTTGAAGAGGGAAAGGAGACAGCGCACAGCCAATGGGAGCGACGCTGTACATGGAATATAAGCGAACGTTGGAGCAGCAGCAGCAGCGGCGGCACTGGCGGCGGCGGCGGCAGCAGCAGCAGCAGCAGCTGAAGCAGAAGTGCGACTCACAGGGCATGGAGCTCCTTCAGATATGACATTTCCGTCGGCAGCGGGCCCTCAAAAGAATTTTCTGCCAGAGTACTGCAGAAAGTGTATCGCACACAGGGCACATAAAGCCATGGCATGCTGGATTGGCAGTATGCGATGAACAGTTGATTTTGCTAGAGGAAGCAGAGGGGCGGATCTAGAGGCAGTGCCACTGAGTTGAGAGGGCACCCATGAGCACACGAGCTGGGAGCCTGTATTGCATTGCGGCCGGCATACATACATGTGTGCACAAATGCAGTGTAAATGCACATGTAAATGCACTCTGATCGCAAGCTTTCCCCTGCGTGCGACCAGAAACAGTGTGCTATGCTGTGGGTGGGCATAAGTGAGGCATACGTGTGATATCTGCCAAGGGCTCACAGGGACTGCAAGAAACTGAGCTTGCTGATGTCAGCAGGGATAGAGCCAGACAGGCTGTTGCTAGCAAGGTCCCTGCAGCAAGAGGAGAGGACGCACACAATTGAGTTGATTCTTCCAAAACAGGGCATCGCACATCAGCGAGACATACCAACGGCTATTGTGCAATATAGTGATCGTAGCTGACAATATCACATTTTTTTTAACCTGCTGGTAAATTTTCTGATTATCACAACAGGTGAAACTGGTTCTATACATGACAATAAGTCGGGTCGAGTTGAGTCAAGTCGAGTCGAGTCAAGTGGAAATAGCTGCCCCGGACTCGAGACTCCACGCTAGGCCTCTAGTCAGTGGTGACTCAAGTCGAGTCTTATGACTCGCAACTCACTTCTGACCCGACCTTTATTGGACGCAGGGCCGACGACGCTTTGGGGCTGTCGGCCCAAGTCGGCCCGAGTCGATTGGACCGGGCAGGCCAGGTCAATTCTAAGGTTGAGGTGAAATGGATGTTTTCAACCAAATTTCCTAACAGAAAAAAATGCCTACACAATTTGAGACTCAGGCCTGTTCAACCTGCTAAGGCTCCTCCTCCTAGGGCTATTACCTACAGTAGACAAGTTCACTGGAAGTCAGGACCTCGATTTTGCTTTCTTATTTTGATCTTTGGACCCAGCGCTTATGGAGGTCATCATTCATGTGTAGTCGCAAATTCAGTGAGTAGTACAACACAGTCAGAGGTACTTCAACAATTTAGTGAACACATTCATGTGTCTGAAACCATATCCTTGGTGCTCGTGAGAGAGAAAGGAAATCTTCCCTTTCAGCCTCTACCCTCCATCCCAGCCTCTTCCAGCCCTGCTTTATAGGTATATAAGGGCACGGGTGCCTCTCCCTTCTAATCATTGTGTCTGGTTTGAAGGGGCTTCGCGTCTTGAGCAGCCACGTTGGCCCAGCGGAAGGAGAGACAGAACCAATCTCCACGAATTTGACGATTTGCACAGTTACGCCAACGAGATCGCCGATTTGCGCAGAGTGCGAGCAAAAGCAGGTATCCTCTACCCGACCCGACCTCGGGTCGGGCTGGCCCGAGGTTGGGTCAGGTAAAACCCGGCCCTGTACCCCCGGGTCGGGTCAGGGTCTCCAACATCCTGGCCCGGGGCTGACCCGACCCGACCCAACCCAAAAACCCGCCCGGCCTGGCCAAGTCGGGTCTGGTCGGGTCGGGTCGGGCCGGCTGCTCATGCCTAACATGAATCATATCAGTATACGGACCTTTCAAGAGAGAGATAGCCGACTCGACTCAATTGCCCAGTCTAACAAGTTACCCCCATCCGGATGTCTATTCCACCAAGTAAATGAGGGATGGCCGTCATTAGTTCCGGACCATAAACCTCTCAACTGGTTCCACCAAGGTCCGTCATTGGTCCTGTGCCTCACTGCTCGAGCCTCGTTCAGATCAAAACAGCCCTACTGCACAGCACAGCACCGTAGCACGTAAGATGACCAGTGGTGCCAATCTTACATATATGTGAGGCTTTGCAACGTGAAGAGGGCGGAGGGCAGCGAACCCGTCAACTGGCATCCAACCATAACACTGTATCGTGAACGTCGCATCCACCAATCACCACAGGCATGGTCACGGGCACGGGCAGGCACAGGCGCAGAGTAAGAGGGAAACGGGTGTGCGGTGCGGTGGGAGAAAATCTGGGATGGGAATGCGAACCAAGAGACACAGGGCAATGAAAAAATGCAGGGGTTCAGTGAGGGAATGAGCACGTGAGTGGTCTCACAGGTACTGGAGGGACTGCAGGCCGCTGAGCGCATCGGGGATGGACTTCCCCAGCGGCACGTAGACGAGTTGCCTGATGGCACCACAGGCATGACAATACGGAAAGAGGTTTGCGACAAGGGGGGGGTGGGGCCTGAGTGGGAGGGATGCACACCCAGGCAGAGGTATTACCAGCATGATCAAGCAGGGTGGTACTAGACGTGAGCAAGTGCCCAAGCTGCACCACGGTTCGACCAACCCGGCTCCTGTAGTTGGCGGACCAAGGGACAGACAGTTATGCTACCCCAGCTCATCTCCAGCCAGCTTGCAGCCAGCTCGTGGGCAGCCGCGTGGCAATCACAGCTCGGCATAACTCGACAGCAAGCCAGGGCCGGCTCCTTGACTTCAAGGCTCCTACATGGCCTTGTCGTACCATCCATCACTGCATGTGGCAGACTGTGCTGTCACTGCTGGGGCCAGTGCTATCTCGGCTGGAGCACGCACATGCCCTGTGTGAAGGAATCCAACTCCTGCCACTCCATGCGTGCGTATCCAGGTCCGCTGCACAAAGCCCTGCCTCTGCCTGCACCCCTGCAGCGTGGGAGACAGACTACAGCAGCAGGTGCGTGTGTGGTGAGAGATGGCTCACAGTTTGGTGATGAGCCCATCGGAGGTGCATGCGATGCCCAGCATCTGTGAGCACACGGTGCCCGTGACCCACGAGTTGCTGAGAGGGAACGTGTCCCACTCGTCCAGCAGAGCCTTCAGCACCGCCTCTGCATGTGAGTGAGGCCAGAGGGTAGCGAGAGATTGAATGGAGCGAGAGAGACAGTGAGTGTGGGATCAGGGGGCGGGGGAAGAGAAGGGAGGAATGGCGAATGATACGGCCATGCAAGGGACCAGCCAGGAAAACGGGCACAATTATATTTTCAGAACAAACAAACAAACAAACAAACAAATCAGAACGAGTCGAGTCCAAAGAGAGGAGTTAAGTGTGGAATTTTTTCAAAGAACAATTAGTCTCGCATCCGGTCCGGACATGAGACGTCCATTGTGAGACGGAAAACAACAATGCGAGGAGAGGAGAATGTGACAGGGAAATTTATGACACTAGCACTGTTGCAGCCACACAGGGAAAAGTGTTACAGTATCTCAAACAACTTTGAATGTAGAGGAGCAGTGAGATTGCGCCCAACTGAGTTCCCCATTTTGCCCACGACAAGAAAAGCTAGCTCTCAGAGCGAGTGTGAATAGCAGCGACAGGCAGGGCGGCGGCAGTGGCAGCACGCATGAACGTACTCTGGGATTCCTGTATCCATTGGGCGGATACGCCCCCGCACGCACACAGCACTGCCAGCAGCGGCAGCAGCAGCACACAGCGACGCCTCCATGTGGGATGCAGCACACGGCACATGCCGTGCGCAGGGGCTGCTCCCTGCACCGCGGGAGAGCACAAGGGGGAACAGGGGCACATGGGGGCACAGGGGGGCACAGGGGGGGCACAGGGGGGCACAGGGGGGCACAGGGGGGCACAGGGGGGGGGGGTTTGAAATGAATTTCAGAACGACAGTCCTCGGTCAACTAGCCAAAGCAGAGTGGCGGAACCATAGAGGGGAGGCGGGGTGGCACAGGGGGGCACATCCCAAGGACGCATGGGGGCACATGGGATGGGAGCACATGGGGGCACTTGCGGGCACATAAGGGCACATGGGGGCCAAACACATGGGGGCACATTGGGGGGGTTGAATTGAATCTCAGAGCCAATCTCAGAGAGCGAAACACAGAGGGGGAGAATCTCAGTGATCCCAAGGCCGCGCCTTTGCCGTGCATGCATGCCTGCCAGGGCACCACTGCATGACACGCGTCCACACAGCGCTGCTCCCAGCACGCATCGCCGCTGAGGCGGTCAGATGCTTGCGGGTGCCTGCGAGGCGAGCGCGTGTGTGTGGGCGGCTGCACGGGATAGGAGAAGCGCGCACGTGACGTTCGACCGAGAGGACAGGTGAGGTGCGGTGAGACACACGGCACTGGCAGGAGAAACGGCATGCGCATAACCATGGGCCTATGACGCCCTGAGGGGAGAGGAGGAGGGCGGGGAGGGGGGGGGGCGGGGAAGAGGGGGAAGCGGGGGAAGAGAAGGGACGTGGGGGAAGAGGGGGGAGAGGGGGGAGAAGGGGGGGGAGAGGGGGAAGAGGGGGGAGAAGGGCGGAGGGACGAGGGGGAAGTCCTGCTGCGACTCCTTCCGAGGTGACTAGAGCTAGCGCGAATTCAAAGCAATGAAACAGAAGGATGTATGGAGGGCAAAAAGGAATGGTGCCACGAAAACACGCTGCGACACATGCTGACACGCTGCTATTCAGGCCACCCTCTTTTCGAACCGTCCCAATGCCAGCAGAGACAAGGGAGGTGCGCATTCGGGTTCGCAACGGTTGCGTAACCCTGTCTGTTTCGCCATGACGGCAACAGCATGCTTTGACGCCAAAAACGTGTCTGTTTTGCCGCGCGTTCCCCAACCTGAGTATGTTGACGAGGTCTACAACGTGGATTTACGAAGGCCATCCTCTCCTCGGCCTCTGGTTCGCCGTACGGCGCGCTAGCTCGCGAACTCCTCTCCAACGATGCCGTGTATTTCTTCGCGCCGCGATTAACGACATGCGAGCCACGTGCACTAGTGGGATCGCGTGCAAGCCTACGATGCCGGCAATCAAGGTTTCACATAGGCGGACCGTGATGAGGCATGCGATAGCGTGTACCAGACGATGTTTTTTCAGGAAATTCTTCGAAGTGGAATGTGGGTCTTGCTGTTGTTAGTGAAGTCTTGTCTAGGGGAGGTGTCACTCATAGCCCTCGTCTCACCTCTCTTCCATATCTTTTTTAGGGTTGCTGTTGCATTTCAGCCAAGGCCCACCCAAGTTGTTTCACCCATCTAACGGTGGCACCGCTTCAGCACACAAACCCCACACTTTCCTGCCTGCCAAACTCCGTCCTGATGAGGCGCTACAGTGCTCTTGCGAATTCTGCAGTCGGGAGCAGGCCTGCCGGTTGACGGGCATATGCCCTTAATGCCCTGAAATTCCGGGCTACTTTCGCTCCAGCTCGACTGCATTAAGTGTTAGGATCGCCCTGTACCCGTGCCACTAAGTGCTTCGTTCAACCCTATCCCGGATGCGTTAAGTGCTCCAAACAGGCCTTCCCCACCCACAAAGTTTTGATTTCCGGTTCTAGGGACCCCCCCCCAAGAAATTCTGCCTGACCCCCCCACTCCCCCCCCCCCCCCCCCTTTCTCCTTGGTTGCACGAGAGCGCGCCAAGGGGATTTTTCCCTTAGCGTTTTCTAGCCAATCCCGTGTTTGTGATCTCTCTAAGTCAGCTTTGGAGCAGCCGAACTTTCCCTTAGCTAAGAGAGTGTAAGTGCAAGCCCGGATATCAAGTTTCCACTTCGGCCTGCGCCCGTGACCGTTAAGGGCGCCAAAACACTCAGCTACGGCTAATACAGGGTCAGATAGGGAGGAGCTGGGGGCTCCAAGTATGGGCCCCAGGAACATCGACAGGCCTGGTCGGGAGTAGGTCTGAGTTGAAAAGTCGGGGGTAGGTGTAAGGAATTTTCTCGGCATTCCTTACGGAGCCGGACTACATCGCGTACAGCAACAGCCGTTGTTCGCCCGTTACTGCTAACGGGACTTCGCCAACTTCGCGCGCACTGTTTTGCCAAACCTCGCACTTCTGGCCCGGCCGTGTCGGCCTACGCTTCGGGACTAGCCCGAGCCTCGCCGCCAGCGTAGCACTAACTAGCTCGCACGCACCGCGTTACCGTTTGCATGCTTCGCATATAAATGTTCGCGCATGCCTTCACTCACATCTTTGTACTCGTTTTGACACCTAGTGCAATTCTCGCTACTTCGATTCATTGCACCCGTAACAATTGGTATTCAGAGCCCCTTTCTTTCGGACCGCGCATCTCCGCACCCCAGGAAATCAACTTTTGATTTTTCACTCGAAGGGACTCACGTACCTTAGCACCTAGGAGCCGCTGTCCTCGCGTTCTCTCGTAAACGCGTGCAGCCACGACTGCGCCTAGACTAAGACGAGCCGACGCCCTTCAAAATGGCTGAACACATCGACGTCACGACTCTCACGCAGGAGCACTTGAACGATCTGCTGCGACAAATCCGCGAGAGCGCCGAGGAAATTGCGACGCTGACGGCAGAACGCTCGTCCCTGCAAAACGACCTCGTACGAGCACAATCTCAAGCACCTGGCACTCCGATTCAGCCCGCACCACAAACATCACAACACGGGAGTGTGGGGCAACCCGCGAGTGCCGCAAGTGATGGCGTCGTCCGCCATGACGGAGACGACGACCACGGCACGACACACCCCGATGCGACGAATGCGGCCAGGACGCAGCCTCAAGTCACAATCTCAGTGCCGGCCAGCGGATCAACTCTTCCGTCGCCGATGCCGTTGAAGCCGCAGCGTCCGCCATGCTTTGACCCAAGTCAGCGGGGTGGTCCTACCGTTCAGGCGTGGCTCTTCACGTTGAACATCTTCTTCGACGCGAACTACGTCTCGGAGGATACGGCGAAGATTCGCTACGCCGTGTCGTTGCTGCGAGGACCCGCCATGGACTGGTGGCGCGTCATCGTCACGAAGCCGGTGGACTACGCGACTCTACCGACACGGGAAGGACAAACCGGACCCTGGGCGCCGTCGTATTTCGTGGAGGTGCCCCAGTATCGCACGTGGGACGCGTGGTGCGCAGGTCTGCGCGCTCGTTTCGAGCCAATCGCGGCTTCGATCGCGGCGCGACAGAAGCTCCGCACTTGGCGCCAACTCGGTTCCGTCCAGGATTACACGAGCGGGTTTCTGGCGCTATGCGAGCAGGTGGGATATATGCACGAGGGCGAGCGCATCAACCGCTACATCGGCGGCCTGAAGCAGGAGATCGCTCAGGAAATCCAGCTTCGCGGCGTCACCGACTTCCAAGAGATTCTCGCTATGGCGGAGAAACTCGATTTCTTCCGCCGACCGAGACCGGGGTCCTACGGAAGCAGCCATTGGGGACATCGGCCTCGTGGGACGAACGAGGGCGCCACGATACGTGACGTCGCCGCAAACGCCGCTGCCGCACCGTTCAAAGGGCGCTGCTTTGCGTGCAATCGGCCGGGACATCGCAAGAGCGAATGCCCGGAAAACGCTAAGGGAAAGGGGGAAGCTGAGCAACAGAAACAGACCAAGCAGCAGGGAAACGCTGGGAGTCAGTAGCAGACGGGCCCTCTACTGACAGGTCACGCCGCTCGCCCGACCCAACCGACCCTCACCGAGTGATTGTGCCGATTCACGCAATCGACCACACCCGGCCGAATAAGGAGGGTACTACGGTAGACAGCCCTATACTGCTCAGTGGGAAAATCGGGACGGACTTAGTAAAAATCTTCGTAGACGGGGGAGCCAGCCACAGCCTCATCAACACTGCCACAGCACGAAAACTGCGACTGCCACTGAACAGATGCTTACCTGAGATCGATGCAAGACTGGTAGACGGCACGCCGCTGGCAATACGGGAACGCGTAGACCGGGTTCGGATGCGATGCGGGGGTAACTTCACATTTAGCCAAGAAATGCTCGCAACGACCCTCGACGGAACCGACATTTTACTCGGGTGTGATTGGTTGCGACGACACAACCCGTGAATCGACTGGACGACGGGTGACTGCACTGTGCGAGTGAACGGTAACAACATCGCCTTACCTCGCTGGGGCTCGCCTGAGTCTTCGTCGGTGCGTGTCAACGCGATCACGATGAAACGCGCTGTAGCGGCGGGAGCTGACGTGTACGCGGTCGACATTCGGGAAGCCGAGGCAGCAGACAAAGGAGGGGATTTACAGAAACTGCTGGCCGACGTACCGAGTGACCTGGCAGCACTGTTACAGCAATACAGCGACATTTTCCCGGACGATTTACCGACGGGACTGCCACCTCAGCGACCGCACGACCACAGGATAGAGTTAGAACCGGGGGCACAGCCAACAGTACAGCGACAGTTCCGACTGACCCAGCCCGAACTGGACGAACTGAGGAAGCAGCTCGATTATCTGCTCGAGAAGGGATTCATTCGCCCTAGTTCGTCGCCCTTCGCAGCACCGATACTGTTCACACCGAAAAAAGACGGGGGATTTCGCATGTGCATAGATTACAGAGCACTGAACAGGGTTACCATCAAATCCCGTTACCCCATCCCACGAGCCGACGAACTGATCGACCAACTGCGCACAGCCCGGGTTTTTTTCGAAAATCGACCTCCGGGGGGGTTACCACCAAATTCGCGTCAAGACCGCATTCCGAACACGCTACGGATCCTTCGAATACACCGTCATGCCCTTCGGACTGACAAACGCCCCCGCCACTTTCCAAATGACCATGAACGACGCTTTCCGCCCACTCTTAGATAAGTGCGTCATAGTATACCTGGACGACATACTGATTTACAGCCCTGACAGAGCACAACACTTACAGGACATCGAAGCGGTTTTTAAAATACTGAGTGAGAACCGCCTACTGACAAAAGCGTCTAAGTGTGAGTTTTTACAGGACCGCCTGGAGTTTTTGGGACACATCATTTCAGCTACAGGAGTGGAAATAGACCCGAAGAAAATCGCGACGATTCAAGCGCGGCACGCGCCGACCAACTTGACCGAGTTGCAGAGTTTTTTGGGGTTCGACAATTACGTGCGCCAGTTCGTCCCCAACATGGCGAAGTTGACTGCCCCATTGACCCACCTGCTGAGGAAGGGGGTTGAGTACACGTGGGGGGAGAAAGAGCAAGCTGCCTTCTCGGCCCTCAAAAACATTTTGTGCTCACCGCCCGTGCTTCACATCGCAGATCCACACCGTCCGTTCGAGCTCGTCACTGACGCAAGTGACATCGCTGTGGGAGCAGTACTGTTGCAGGATTTCGGGAACGGCCTCCAACCAATCGCGTACGAGTCCCGCAAGCTGCACCCGCCCGAGCGCAACTACCCGATACACGACCGCGAAATGTTGGCGATCGTGCACGCGTTCAAGGTCTGGCGGTGTTACCTGACCGGCGCCGACGTGACAGTACGGACAGACCACCGATCACTACAGTACCTACGCGCCCAACCGAATCTCAATCCGCGACAGATTCGCTGGTTGGACTACCTCGAGTCCAACTTCCACTACACAGTTACGTACAAAAAAGGCACCTCCAACATCGCCGACGCACTCACCCGCCCTACCGCCCAACTCCACGCCATCCTACTCGCCCAGACCAACCCGCTTTTAATAGGCCTATTTACCCACGGATACCGCACCGACCCATTCTTCACGACCGGAAACTCACAGCAACTGGCAGAAGCTAAAGGAGTTTATTATGAAAAAACAGGCACCAACCG